TGAAGACTTGATCTCCCTGAAAAAAATAATATATATAAAATAATAATATATTATATATATATATAATATTTTAAAATATTATTTAAAAAAATTAATTTTGAAAATTTATTCGAATTTTTATTTACCGTTGAAGGATCTTCCAGAGGAGTTTCAATTTCTGCTTGACGCAGAAATACATTACCACGACATGCACGCCAAAGCATACGTTCAAATGCTGGAATACGTTCTCGTAGAATTACTCCTGCGACGAAACTATTTAAAGAATAATTTTAATAAGATGCGTAAATTATGATAAATTATTAATGAATGAAATAAAGACATGACACCATAAATAAAATAAAACATGACACAACACATCAATATGTTTGTGCATGTATAAAAATCTTAAATCACTTTAAATTTAACATGAATATAATAATAATAATATGCATTAATACAATTTGCATAAAAAATCATTTTTACATTTATAATATTATATGTCGTCATATTGGGCAAATTGTATGAGTTTCCAAGATTAACATGTAAATTCTACATTATAGATACTAATACTTTCAACCTGTATCATTCAAATATTTTAATATTTTTATTAACAAAACATTTATTTAAAGATTCCTTTATTATTATTTAATTATATTATTATATTGAAAAATGATGATTCTTGTAGCCATGGTTTTTTTTCTTAATATCATAAATATTATTTAATCGTTATATAAGTCTGCATATATAGTATAAATATATAATACATTTTATGTACCTACAATAAAATTCAATAAACATATCATAATAATATTAATAAGAATAAAAAAAATAATTAATGATGATAATAATGAAGAAAATAATAATAATAATTGTTAACAACAATAACAATAGCAATTTCAATAAATTAAATAAAAGATTTATATGTTTTAAATATCAAATGATATTTAAAAAATAAATAAAGAAAAGAAACTAAAAGTAAGCTTCATACCTGCAATGTTTAAAAACTTAACTTACTATTAAATTAAATCAGATCTTAAATATTGACCTATATATTGATTTAATATAATTAGATGTATGTGCATATTTTTTAAAAAAATAAAACATTATACATCTCAAATTCATCATGATTAGATTAAATAGTAAATTGTAGAATATGTATAATCATGATTCAAGAAAATGTATGTTTTATTTAAAAAAGGAATGAAAATTTATAATATTATAATATTATATTATATATATAATATTATATTATATATATGATATTATATTATAATAACAAACAAAATCGCATTATTTTGAAGAATATAAAGCAATATAAATATATCACATGCAAAAATTTATTTAAAAATCGACTTAATCTCGAAATATATGAGACATTTTTTCAATTATTATATAACAAAAAAAAAATTCATTTATATCTATATATGCTCAGTAATCATTCATTTTTTTTAGTTATAATTAATTTTGAAAAATCAATGCTATTTACAGAATAATTGTAAGATTTAATATAAGAATTGATCAGCTCAACTTTTTGAAAAAAATAAATTTTTTATATAACTCTAACTCTGATAATATTCTATATTTGTAAATGCAAAAATAGTTAGTCGAGATAATGTAATTTTAAGTGCAAAAATTGTCCCTGAAGTTAATTAGTTTTTTTTTATTAATGCAAACAATAATTACAATTATTTTTTGATCGTTTTTTTTTCATTTATTTCAAATAATTTTCCTACTTATAATATATATATATTATATATATAATTATATATAATATATAATATATATTTATTATTAGTTAAACAAAAAAATTAAAATTACAATTAAATATATAAATTTCTTTCCTAGAGATTTTTTAGATTCCATATTTTTATATTTTTATAAATAAAACTTTTAAATATTTTAAATATCTTTATTTGTTTTTTAATAGTTTAATTGTTTTATTTTGGATTTATTTATAATTTATATAGAATAATTTTGAACTTTTGTTATATTTTTTTATGAGAGAGAGAAAAAAACATTAATTTTAATGATCATGTTAAATTTATGTGAAAATTTTCTAGAATTACTTATTTATATGGATATCATATCACAGCATTCATCTATTAAAAACACACTTATAAAAATGCTCAAACTCACCACAGAATTATTAAATAATAAAAGTCTATAATAAAAATCTTTCAAAAGCTATAAAATTATTATCAATAAATAATTTTTGCACAATTCTGTAGATATTGAAAATACTAACCACTTTTTATAAGCATAATGTATAAAAATTATCAAATTTGTCTATTATATAATCTATATATTTATTTAAATATTTCTATTGCTTATGAAATTATTAAAAAAATATTATAATATTATATTATATATATAAAAAAATATTAAAGAAAATAATTGATACAAATATTTCTAAAAATTTGTCTTCTTTATTTCATAAATAGAGAACTATAAGTCATACAAATGAATCCAATGACTATAATTTTATATCAA